GCGCGACTCGATAAGTAGCAGTTAAGATTTCGCTGCTCTTCTCAATATCCGCATGGTCAAAAGCGAGGCGAGAGTTTCCCTCACCCCTCCACACTGTTTTTACCAAATTTCCCCCAGGCTTACCTTTGAGTTTAATATCAGGGAAAAGATGATGGGAAAATGGGCAGACCTGCTTCAGTGCCACTCTGCCACTGGAAAGTAATTTCCTGCAATTTAAACTCAAGAAAAATAAGGAAGCGTCTTTGATTTCCGCGTGAAATGATGTGGGTGGTGGTGAAATGCCCAAGTTCTGGGCAGAACTTACTATCTGGAAGCCCCATACTTGGGGCATCGAATTAAGGTTGATTCAATTTATTATGAGCGTTGCAATTTGAAATGCCAGCCTTTCGACGTCGATGACGCTATTTTGCGTCAGTCGCATAAATCGAATAAATGCCATAAACCGAATTAATCGAATGGCTCAGCTGTTGAATTGAGTATTTTTCAAATATCAGCTCTACTTATGCCACACTAAATTTATTAATTTAAATTTTTAATTTAGAATTAAGTAACAGTAAATACATCAAGTTCTGCCCTTTGCCTCTTTTGTTGTTAGTACAAATAAGCAAATTATAGACTCAAATGTAATCTTTGGGAATGCCAAATTTCCTTCCAGCGCTAAAACCAAATTTTAAGCCAGTGCCAATGCCAAAATGCTAACCTATCTGTAGCTGCTGTTGCTGCCATTTCTTTCCATTTTTTGCTACTTTTTTTGTGCCCAAAGGCAGTCACTCCTCCCCCATTTAGTCGGGAAACCAAATGAAATGCCTGAGGGCAGTAAATTTAAGCGCCCGGCAGGAGTTGCTCCTTGTTGCCAGTTGGATGTTGAAAGTTGAGGAGCCGAGCAGCTTGGCCACCGGAAACGGCAATGGAACGCGGTTTTGGCCACGTGGCGAGCGGAGTATTTACCGCCATGTGCATAGTTTGCAAGTCTGCGCGGCGACACCTGCAGGAATGGTCACCCCAAACAGGCGTCCACTGCCCCTGGTTCCCCCACAAAGCAATCCCATCCAGAACCAGACTGGAGAGCAGACATGGCCACTAACAACATCAAAAAGTGCCAAGTGCCAAGTGTTTGCGTTGGTCGCCAAAACGCGGCCCTACAAATTGTTTCTCCTCCCTGTATTTTTATGCCCTGTCCACCCTGCAGCCTCCGGGGTGTATTAGGCTTATGAAATGTAATGCACGCCAATTTTTAACAATTGTTACTTGTAGAGCGTCGCAATCTATTTAGAAAGATCTTTAAAGCTGGCTTTCAGGACATTAAGATCTATATGATGGTGTAAAGGAATGAATCGGTATTTAATAGTCGAGTTGCCACGTGAGTTGTTCGTGTTTTTAACAGTGTGACATTTTTCTTTTTTATTTACGGAAGGGGAGTGTTCAGCGCTAATGTGGACTGGTCCAAGTTTCCTTCATCCTGTTCCTGGGCAATTTTTTTCTACTTTTTTGTTGGCTTGTTTTGTTTTGTTCACTTGTTGGCTACTCTTTTATGCACATCGATTTTCGCTCAGTGCTTTTTATTTGCCATTCTAAAGAGAAGGTGGGGAAGGGGGTAGAAAGGTGGAACCGTACATCGGAGTTGTTTGTTTGGCACTGTTTGTTTATGTGCCGTAACTGGTTGGTGAGAAAAAGGAGGACAGGAAGGGCGGAGAGGGGAAAAAGGGTGTGGAAAATGTTAAAAAAACAAACGACGAGGAAATTTGGGGCGTAGTTGGGGAAGAGGCGTGAAAATGCGGCACGGGGACAAAACTTTTTAAAGCGACATTTAACGATGCTCTTAAGTCGAGCACAACACTTTCCAGTGCCAAGTGAGTGCCCCATGAGTGCATTCATTCACTCAACCACACTCAAACTGGAAATCATGAGTCCGGCGAGTACTCACTTGGTACCCAGAGCAATTAAAGAGTATCCTTGGTTGCATAAAACAAGCATTTGCAGTTTAAAACAAGATAGACTGCTGTAGTCGACTATCGGATACCCGTTACTCAGCTAGTGGAAGTGCAAACGAGAAATTTCCACATTTTCTGGAATATCGGCAAAAATTGCGGAAAAAGTAATAAAATTAAAAAAACCTTCAAAATTTTTTTGAGTGGGTTGAGTGGGTGTGGCCACATTTGGAAACAAACTTAATCTCAACATTCTAGCTTTTGTAGTTCCTGAGATCGAGGGTTTCAGACGGACATGTTTGACTCGGCTACTGATCCTGATCAAGAATATATATACTTTATATGGTCGGAAACGCCTTCTTCCGCCTGTTACATACTTTTCAACGAATCTTGTTTGCCCATTTACTCTACGAGTAACGGGTATAAGTACTACCATGTTGTTCTCCCGTTTATACTAAGCCTCCATAGATACTTTTTAATAATTGGCTCATCCATATGCTAGCTCAGTTGGTGAAAACCCGCACAGCTACAGCTGCATTGGGAAGTTAATAGAAGTATTTTAGCCGGGCCAACAAAGTTTGCCGAGTAAGGAACCTCTTTTGACACTGACGTTTTTGGCAAGTGGCGGATGGCTTGCCAACACTTCAAGTACGGCGACAAATCGTGCAACAAAGTCAAATGCACTTCACGATACCGGTGGAAAAGTAAAGGAAAAGCTATGGAAAATTGCCTGGGAGGGTGTGGCGTGAATGTGTACAATGTGCATACATGTACACCACTGTACATGTGATGATTCATTTTGCAATATTGCATATTGTGCGTCGCACTTAAATTCAATTAAGCTACAAAGGCAGTTACACAGCACAAGGCAGCCAGCTCGAACCATCGCACACACGAGAACCAGGGACCACAAGCGTCCAATAACCCATCAGCTGTCGCGTCAGAAAAACCAAGGACTACCCAGTGCCACCCAGGAACACCCACAATCACATTCACTGTAGAAACGGTGGCTGGACTTTATGGCATTGCCCTTCGCACACCCACTCGTTCACTCATTCATTGATTCATGCACCAATTCGCCCAGCCATTCAAGCCGGCACTCATTCAATCATTTCTGTCGAGTCCTCGACGATATCGCTTTAGTTTTGAGCTTGGAAAGGTTCAAGATGTCATTGTAATTTGTAGCGAACATTTATTCCAGCAAATGGCTTAACGGAAAATGTATTTTAGACTCCTATTAGTTGATCGGTGGCGAGAAGCGGTGGTGGCTTGACTAAGCCACAAAAATAACTGAAATGATTTTATGCTCTCAAAAGTATACTATAGAAAATTCCAACACGTGCGGTATGAGTGATCATTTAGAAAACTTTGACCATTTTGTAGTTATGGGTAATTTTAGTCTCACCTCCACTTAGCCACAAAAACAAAAGAAGAAAATGCGGGACATGGATTTAAGAAATTCCCCACTGGCGTACTTCTCGTATCCTGTAATCCTGTTTGCATTTCCTTATCAATTGATTTAGAATTGCTTATTAAAAACATTGTCCAGCTGGTTATGCCCCAGTTCAGCTTGGAAAAGTGCCCATCACTCAGGCGCCCATCTGCTTACCAGGACTCCCATTTTTCATACCTTGTTTGCTGTTGGCGGGGCTAAAACTAGTGCCATCGTGATAGGGCGTTGGCTGGCCTCGTGGGTGTGGCAGCTCTCTAATTTCATTTACACGCTTTTCAACGCTTCCCAGCGCTCCAATCGAGCTCCATTTAAATGTTTGCCTAGGTGCGCCACACACCCACTGCAGCCACCCACACATTCGCCCACCCATCCACTCACACAGATACTCAGAGGTAAGTAAGTGGAACTTCCGGAGCTATACTATAATGCCTGGTTCGCATACATCCTTGGGTGCTTTTGCTATTGAGCTCGAGTTTGCTTTTGCGTTTGCATCTCGCAGATGCCTCGCTGCCATGTAGAACTAATTCCATTAAAGCCAGCTCTAACTTGATTTCCAATTGACTCCTCATTTGCAGTGGTGCGGTGCGGTAGGCGGGGTGGGTGGGGTCGGTGGGTCGGTGGGTCAGGACGCGCTGTCAGCAATCAACATGTTCAATTGAGCATATCCTGCCGGCTGCAGGACACTGCCATACTGCCATACTATACCAGAGAAATGTGATTACCCGACGCTATTTTCCACATACATCCGTCCAGGGGCTTAGGCTAAAATTAGTCAACGGGGTGGATTCCTAGAGGAATTCCGCAGTGTGTCGCAAAGATCCCTTCTCAATTAACAGGGCACTAATTCGGGAAACCGATCTCTTAACAATTTAAAATCTATGCTGCAAAAAAAATACTTTTAGTGAAGTGACATTCCAATGGTATAAGCCTTTTTCAACTTTTTATTTTACCTCATTTTAGAAATGTATTCAAACTACTTTATGGCCACTGCATACACCACTGTCACCACGACGCTGAAAAGAGACGGGCGATCGGGCGTAGAAAGAGACGGCAAGCTAGAACACAACAGGAAGAAGGTCCAGCGGGCGCCTTTTACATTTCATTGGATTTTATGCGTTTCACTTTATGCTGATGTTTTTATTATTAAATTTTCTTGAATTTTCTTTTACATTTTCTGGCTTTCTTAGCGCCATGCTCTATCTGCATCCATCTCGCTCACTCCACCGACTGTCCCTGTCTCTGTCTCTGCCTCTGTCTCTGTTTGGTCGTTAGTGTTGTCGCCGATGCTGATGACTCCTCTTCATTTTCACACTTTTCATTCAATTTATTGCATTTTGCAAATTGAGTGTCGCTTTCCTTAGATCTATTCTCCCTCCTGTTTCGTCCTGGCCACATCATCCTGTGCTGTTTTCTCACTTTCCTAATTTTCCTAAAAGAGATAGCGCGAAAAATGCGAGGGAAGTACGTAAAAAGAAGCCAATTCGATTAAAGAATGCTTAAGAACGAAGAGGGCAACAAAGTCTAGCTAATACACTTACGCTGCACAAATGCAGATAGCCAATAGAAAAATAATAATGAATTACATATTCCCTTGCTTATCCGATGTTTTGATTTCTTTTTCAATTTTGTAGTGTTTTGTATGGTCCCATCATGGCCACAAACTGAATGCCCACCTTCTCCTTGCCCTTTTGAGTAAGTGCATCCACTTGATTGGCCGTTAGCATAATGACCCTGCCACTTTTGATCAAATCAAAGGGTCGAATGGACCTCTTAATATCGTAGGCACTTCCGGTATAGGATATTGTACTACCGGTGGATTTGCCTGCCTTTGGCCACAAGGTCAAGTTCACCTTCAAGGGAAAACAATTGGCGATGGTAGTTGCCGCCCAAATAAATGTTAGTCGCTGATCCGATTCGCAAGTCCCCAGGATTTCACTCAGTTGCACATGTCTACTCATTATGGTGAGGGATAGTTCAACTCCAGGCCTGGAATATTCAAAAAGCACATTTTGCAGTTGTATCACAGCATGACAGTTTACGTTCCACCTTGTAACCTTCAAGTCCAGTTCAAAACTGAATGGTTTTTTCAATGGCAAGTACTTCACTATCCAGGCATTGTGTTGGAGTGTCAGATGAAAAGTGATGTTGTACTTATAGAGAGCTTCTTGGCAACTTGGCTTCGGACAATTGGCTAGAAATTGTGACTTTTCCAAGCGCATAAATGGAAAAGGTAATGACACACTGAACAGAGGACTTTCATTGAAATCATCCGGAAGTTCGATTGATTCAGAATGCGGTTCACTGGCACTTGAGCAAGGATATAGAACTCGCCGAACGAGGGGTATACCATAGTCGGGTGACTCATATTTAGGCTCCGATGTCAGCCACTCCATGTGCCGCCGTTTCGTCAAAAACTGGCATCCAAATAACAAATATTTCTGCTGTAGGTGGGCGTATTTATATTCCTTGTTAATATAATCTAGTCGTGCGCGTCTTTCTTCCTTAGTATATAATCGTATGTCCTTATTGGATTCCATTTCTCTAGTCTCTAGATCTACGGGTCTCCTTACGCTATAGGGACAACCCATTAGCAAACGCATCTCTTCGGCGGCATAGGAGTCCAAATCTGCAACTTTAGGCTCTTGAGTGCGTTGCTTTGGTTCAAACATTTTGGTAGAACAACATGCCAAATAAGGCAGATAGTTTTCTCTTCTGAAAAGTGTTGTGAGTCTAGAAGACCTCTTAAAATGACACAGTCTGTCATCGTCAACTTCCAGCTCAATGGCAGGTTCAACTTCGTTAGCAGTAAATTTTGGTTTATTTTTCTCTTCTAAATGATGTTCTCCGTCACATTTCTCATCTTTTGGGGAACTTTCTTCTTGGTGTGGACTATCAGTTTCTCGTTTTTCTAATTGATATGGACTTGGTTTTAATTCAGCTAATGATTCCTTCTCTTTTGCAGCTTTCTGTGAAATTTCATTGAGGCTTTCTTTTTTTTCTACGCTACATCCGGGAAGCCTATCTCTTGTACATTCCAGAGAACTGCTCCTTCTTCGAGGTAAATTAATGGAACTCCTAGCTGAATCAAGCGAATGAGACCGACCACTTTCCATTGCGATCAAATTGCTTTCGGTTTCACTCTGCCAAAGCGCTTGGGACGCACTGTCCTCATCATGGCTGCCATCATTACTAGTCTGATCAAGGCTTTGGGTCTCCATCTCAGACACGCACAAATCATCGTTGGCGAATCTCAGGTCAACGTGGATCACAAAGGTTATGCGTCCGCACAAGCCACACTGATACTTCTGTCCCACATCGCATTTCATACATTGATAGTGCTCCTGCAAGCAAACACAAACTATGAACTTTTGCAATGTGGAAAACGGCGTTACAGTGGGCTGACGGCACATCACACAGTTCATAATGGCTTCCAGAGGATCGAAAATATAAATATATGTATATATTGTGATATTCTGTGATATATTGTGGTAGATGTCAGAGTGAGTGCTAATGGCAGGCACACTCAATTCACAATGCCTTCAGAACTTGACTGATTATAAAATTCCAGTTGGCTAGTATATGTCCATTCCGTAAGTGGTATAAAAGAATCAAGAGCGAGGAGAATTTTTTTTAATAGCACATGTTCATTTGTGCGCTTGTATTATTGTAACAAAATCGTACTTCTTGGTTGCCTTACCCAATTCAGCAGGCTTTGGAATAAAGTTCACCGATCGTGAGACTAAAATCAGTTGGGCTTTGTGCGTGGGCTGGAAATATGAAAGCCAAACAAAATTGAAGTAAGAGCCAGATATCGCCACTCAAAATCGCCGCAATGTCCAGCGATCAGGTAAGTTCCCAACCGGAAACGGAAGCGCACGCGCAGGCGGAAGCGGAAGCGGGAGCGGGAGCGGAAACGGAATCGGAAGTGGACGTGGCGGTCGAGCCCGAAGTGCTCTCGGTAACCAGTGCGGCCAGCTCCGTGGAAGATGCGGCACCCAGCACCAGCCGCAGTCACGGTGCTTCGGGCAAATCCACCGAGGCACCAATCACTGGTTGTGTGGTGCGAATCAAGCGCGAACTGCAGGACATTCGGAAACATCCGCCACCGAATTGCACCGCCGACTTGCATCACGGGGATCTTCTGCGCTGGACGGCAGGTGTGAACGGGCCAGCTGGCTCCGTGTACGAAGGCGGTCACTTCCGGCTGGATATACGATTTCCGGCCAGCTATCCCTTCCGCCCGCCACGCATCCGGTTCACCACCCGGATTTACCACTGCAACGTGGACAGTCGCGGCGCCATTTGCCTGGATGTTCTCGGCGAACGATGGTCGCCGGTGATGAATGTGGCCAAGGTGGTTTTGATTTCACTATCCAGTCTCTTGGGAGAAGGCCATTGACCATTTTGAATTTCTCCCCAGGTCCTACTTTCCATTTACGTGCTGATGATTGAGTGCAATCCGGACGATCCACTAGTCATGTGCATTGCCGATCAGTACAAAACAAATCGCAGGGAGCACGACAAAATCGCTAGGCAATGGACGAAGATGTTTGCGATGACCCAGGCGCAGGATGCGAAGGGAGGAAAGGATGCGGATCAGCATAGTGGGCAAGATCAGGAATAAAGTCCAGTGCCAAGTCAGCCAGGAAATCTGCAGTCACCAGAGCAATGAATCAAGTAAAACACGATGCCCTTGAATACAACTATAAATTTTAAAACGATGCATATATTTTGTCTATTTTATCTCTGAGATGCAAGGATTGCAAATAAGTATGCCCGTTAAGTGCGATCTGAAATAAATATAAATTTGGCGAGTTTCAAGCCGTTGTGGGGCGCACTTTCTTTGCTTTAATGGGGTTTTTAAAGGGCGCTTCCTCTGCCCTTTGACCCCTGTACAAAAATGCCTGCTCAAGGCAAGCAGTTTCAAAATACTCCCACCCTGGTCGTCGTGGTCGTCGTGGGCCTCCTCCTGCCCCCAGAAATGCTGACTGTGTCAGATAGTCAAACGCGGTCCTTTGGCCGCTCATGTCTATGAATATTCATGAGCTGCCAAAAAATGAACGTTGGAAAAACATCCACGGCCCAATGGAAACGTGGGTGGGTTGCTTTTGGTTAGCTTTGAAAAATGAATTGGAACGCGGACGGTTTAAGGATGCCAACACCTCCATGCCCACACCGAGTCCCACCAAGATGGCGATGGCGATGCAGGCCATCAGCGATACTGGGGACACGGGCTCAAAGGACCATGGCCAAAAAGGATGGCCGCACATCGGGTTCACCTCAATTGAGTGCGAGGAAATATTCAAGCCGGCTATCTTTAATGCCCATATGGCACTAAGCAGAAAGACGAGCGGCCAACACAATTAATGTCCTGCGAGCAGAAAGGACACTCATCTTAAGAAAGGATTATGCGAAAAAGACAGGTGCTATAAAGACCCGAAAACACATTATTTTTGAAGGAAAATCACAACACTTTTTGAAGGTTATAGGAAAATCTTTTTTGTGTAAATTTAGGCATTTTGTAAAAATTTAAGAAAACAAATGCAAAATAGTAGAAGCTCAACGATGTACGGCAATCATTTGAACCAATTTGTAACGAAAAGTTTGATTTTTGGACTGCAAACAAGGATTTTTCCCCATAGCTTGGCTGTAAATGTTTCAATGTAGAGCTGCATAATTAAAAAGAAGATGTCGTAAATCCAGCAAATGTTTATATAATAAAGCGCCAGTGCGTTGGTTGTGGCTACAAGTGACAATATTGATACTGTCATTTAGCGGAAATGCCAGAACGCACAGCAATTTCATGAATCCAGGGTGATAAACGCATAACCCAAGTGACAGCAGGAGTCCATCCTCCGCCCACCAATGAAAATCCCATGGATACCGAGTCTGGCCAACAATGTCATCAAAGTGCCGAGTGCCTTTCCAATATCACCGCCCATTGCCTGTCTGCCGCTTGTCTGTCCCTTATTCCCCGACAAGTCAAACGTTAATGAACTTAAAGAAATTAATTAAAGTGCCAGGACTGGCTGTCCCACACCCAGCACACACCACCCACAGCACACACACCACCCACAGCACACACAGCACACACATGTGGCGCACATACAATACAACATACAGAGTACAGAGTAGTACATAAAGAGCTCGCAGCTTAACGCCTGTCCCGAATCCCGTTTATTGGAATCGACATCCGGGCTGGACGTCAAAGTTCTTGGCCATTCGCATCGCATCGGATGGGATCGGATCGGATGGGATGGCTTTCTTGCCGGGCAAATGCAATAAAAGCAAGTTGCTCGCACCGAGACAACTTGACCGTTAAAAATGAAGTCAGCCGGCAGATGGGAGTTTCCACTGTCGCCAGCGCGGCCCACTTAAACGACGAGCAGATGCCCTGCATTGCAGCTCACTTATTTCAATAATTCATACAAATTTCCGCTATGCTTACAACTTTCTATAGACGAACAGCTCGTTAAACTCGGTTGTAGCTTAACTGCTGGGTTGCCAAAATGGATTTTGTAATGTTAATCATGTGATTATCTGCTTATGCCGTGCGATTTTCTGTGTCTCTGCCAATTGTTCTATAATGTTTAGTGCACAATTACATAATCTGTGCTTTGGAAACGTTTTAGCAGCAGAGAAGTGGAATATTCAGGCAGACAATTGAGCTCCGGCTTTGTTTTGTTCATGCTGCAAGTGGGGCAAACCACACAAGTGATGACTTCGTCCACGCTTCCTGCACCTGTTCTCATTAACCCCCGTGAGCCCACCAAACCCTCAACCGCCAAATGTGTCCACCGCCTCAGGCGTCGCGGCATTCGCACCCGTGCTAATCCCACAGAGTCGCCCGATTCCAATTGGCAATTGGCGATTGCCGGCAAACAGGAAAACGGCTTGGACAATCCGTCATAGCTTCGAATGTGGAATCGGATGGGTTTGGGCATATGCGATGTGGGAGGTGGAATGGCCCCGCCCCCTCTTGGGTGTCCTGCAAGTGGGCGGTTAATTAGGACGGAGGAGTTGGGCACATGATGATGCCACATCCGCGAACTGGGTCCTCGCTGCAATCCAATTCCCATTTGCTGCCATTTCCATGGCGAGCTAATTCGCGATGGCTAATGATCCAAAGGCGATTTGAGTTTACATTCAAATGGCAATCCACAGAGCTTCTTAACCGCACGATCAAACTTCCAGTTACAAGTATCCGAACAATTCAGCTGTCGCAACTGATAACTCAAGTAGAGTTAAGAAATATCTCTCTTAAATGTGACTTTCTTATTCAAAAATATAGAGCCATTCAGTTCTTTTTAACCATTTTATAAATTTTAACTAAAATAAACTAAATCAAGTCTATAAATCCCTTTGTATTCCCCTTAATTTACTTATGGTAGCTTTGATGCTCCGTACCCAATTTTCTGATACTCCAAATTAATAAACTGCCATCTCCCATTCACCTTCCAGTTAATATACCCCATTGTCGTGTGTCACATGGCAATAAATATTGCCGCATGTTAAATGTTTCGCTCGCCCCGCTCCCGATGACCACGGGTGGGTCCTGACTGCTCAAACTGGAGGATTCAAGGACTGGGCGATATCGAGGCACCCAACTGGCTACGGGGCGATGGCCACTCGCCGATATTGCACAAAATTAACAAATGAGCCCGACAAGCGTCCGGCTGATGAGTTTCGATGCCCACGCCCACACTGGAATTGCCACGGAAAAGCCAACCGAACCGAGGCCCGCCCCCGAAAAGGCCGGGAAAGCCCCTTCTCAGTTTCTGGGGCGGTTGCCACTGCCGGAGGACCGGAGGACCAGAGGACCAGAGGACCAGAGTCGATTGAATTCCGTGTCAAACGGTTTCTGCACTCTCAGCTTTTATTGAATTCCATTACAGATTCATGTCCATCAGTGGAGTAACGTCATCATAAGGGCCACATGGCCAGGCTGCTTGCCTTTTTGGGGCAATATAATGAACACCCAGCGATTGATGTCATTAATGTTAATGGCAAATTGTTTTAGAGCACCGACTTCTGCCGGTGACAGTGCGACTGAGCCAGGACGAGGCCCGCATCCTGTTTGGCAATCAAGGGACAAAGAGAGAGTTGTAGTTTGTCAAAAGTGCGACTACAAAAGTGCGACTGCTCGCTGCTTATCGCACCAGACAGACATTTCCGACGGTCGGAAAAGTCGGCGGGGGAGCGGGGGAGCAGGGGAGGAGGAAAAACCTATTATGATTATGCCGGCGCAACGTCCAAAGGTTTGCGTTTCGGCCAGACCTTTATTTTGGCCAGCCATCCTGCAGTTTTGGCCATTTAAAAATTACCGAGCATCGGAAGCCAATTAGCTTTGGCGAGCGCACACTGAAAAAATTCAGAATTAAATAGCAGCTATTAATTAATATTTAATTTCCAAAGCATATATCATGGTTACAAATATGAAAGCTGTCACTAGGTTAAATTCCTTGAAAATGTGGCTCAAATTACCATCAAACATATTGTTAAATACTGTTTGTCACATTTAATATCATATCATATCATATCATATCATATCATATCATATCATATCATATCATATCATATCAATATCATTTAACAACATTTTTACTTTGAAACCTCAATTCGACATTTATTTCTATTTCTATGAAGCCATAGCAGTTTTGAGGTGAAAAATTTCTGTCAACTTGGTTACAATTTGCGAATGGGTTGTACAGCCGAGAGACCCCTTAGCACCCTGGAAAAGAACTGCCTGCTCAATTGAAATGCCCGACTGGCAGGGGCTTCCACATCAAAATCACAACATAGTGCATTCAAATCTGGACTGTGTAGATGAATTTCATGGCATTCGCACAATGAGTATTCAACCTCAACAAAGGGAAATTAATTTCGTCAACCGAGTGCAGCTGAAGAATTTTCCAGGGCTTCATCAGCTTGGATTGGGAATGGGAACTGGGAAATGGGAAATGGGTGTGAGGTATGCAGTATAGGAAGTATGGGAAGTATGGGGAGTATGGGGAGTTGGCTAACCTGGCATCGAAACTAAGGCTTTACGGACTCAATTAATTTGAGAGATTTTCCAAGCAACTCAGACGAGGAACTTGAAGCTTGTGGTGCAATTGGAGCGACATCGGATTGAGTTTTGGCATTGCTCTTCATTTGGCGGTCTTCGCTCGGATTTTTGGCTTGCTTGAAATTTAATTAAGCCGTGCCGCAGGGTGAAAATGAGAAGGGGGTGGTGGTGGTGGTGGAAAAGCCTTTCAAAAGTTGCCGTCTAAATATTATTTTACACGATGCTTTAACGGCAACTTTTGCATGCCTCATAATAATAATAATCGTCATAATGCCGCCAGGCAACAACTGTTTCATTAAAAGAAAAATAAACCAGCAGGAAAATCGCAGCAAAATCTGAATGGGGGAAAGTGCAGTTTGGCGGGCAGGGCATGGGTGGGGGGTCGGAAAATGCGGGGCAAAGGCGGTGGCAGATTGCATCGTATGTTGTTTTATGCGTATGATATTTTGCCAGGCCAAAGTTATGAGTTCTATAAGGAAGCTGGCAAAAGGCAAAGGCAGCCAGCCCCAAGAAAAAATGGGGAATCTTTCCTCTGCTCTTTTTTCACTTCCACTTCCACTTCCCCCCTTTTTTTTTGGTGGGTGAGGGGTAGGTGGTGGGCTGCACTTGCTCTTTTAGTTAAATGTTTGAAAAGAAAAATTAAAAACTTTTTACAGCGCACACAACATGCGCGGCTGCTGCTCCTTCTTTTGCGATGCCATAATATCCTGT